GGGCCTGAAAATGGCCCTCCGTTTCAGGCTGAAAACTCTGGGTCTGAAAAGACCCAGAAATAGGCTGAAACGAGGTAGGGCCTGCAGGCCCTCGTTTTTCAGCATCCAGGCTGAAACGAACGGGGCCTGTAAGCCCTAAGTTTTAGGCTTTTAGGCTGAATGTCCGGGACGGGCCCTGTAGGGCCCGTGTGGCTACGCAGTATGCCACATCCACCGTGGGCAGAAAAGAGGTTCAGAGGTAAAAGTCGTTTAAATGACCAGTACGTTTGCCAGTCATTTTTCTCCGACTCGGCATGCATGCGGCCGGAGCAAAAAGGCCGGCAGTGCCAGTGAAAAGGAGGCCTGCGCTGATTCGTTTTTTTCTCTGAATGCACCGGGTGTTTTCAGCCTCATGAAAAAGAGGCTATATTATGGCCAACACGGGTGTGAGTGTGCGCATGAGTGGGTTGAGTGTGGTGTGTGGGAGAGTGTTGGCCATAGCCACTGCTGCTACTCGATGGGGGGTGGGGGTAGTAGATGGGAGGCGCAGCTACTGGCAAAATGCTCAGTCTTCGTGTTACCCCGCCCACCACCAGCAGCAGCCCCACCCTACTCCCTGACCACCTCCGATTAGGGCCGGGGGCAACAAGCATCCCCCTTTTAATTGTGAGAAAGTAGCTATGCTTGCAGGGGTCCCTTGTATAGGCTTAGGAGTAGTGCAGGTGACAACCTCCAGTGAGATTGCACATTGGGTGGTGGCCACGCCTACGGCACGAGTGACTGGGTACACCTGGTCACGGAGAAATCCGCGCTGGGATGGGCTTAAGTGCTCATCTTGGGGCTTAACTTTCACCCCAGTCCATTTAGCCGTTTGGTTGAGTATATACCTCCCAAGAGGGACGTCACATGCTACACTCTTGTCATGGACTAACGAGATGCTCTCCTAGCTTAGGAGTCAGGTAGGCTAGATAGTGAAAGGTGAAATTGAGAGAAAAATATAGGTTAGTAACCATTAGTTTTATTTAACAAAAAAAAAAAGGGAGGCTTGGAAGTACTGGTGGTTCGAACCACCAGTACATCTGAGGCAAAATTCACGAGCCCTGTGCACCAACTAGCACTGGAGGGGGCGTTTAAGTAAAAAAAAAAGGGAAAAAAAATCTTTGCCAAAACGCCAGTGCGACATTTTTTTTCCCTTTTGGCTGGTGCAGCGCCGCCGCCACCGCCAGCCATTTTGATTCGGTGGCACTGTTCATCTGAAGTTCTGAACCTTTCCGATTGATTAAAAAAAATTGCGATGTTCGAGTTGGCTGTGGCCATGTACCACTTGGCCCATACATCGGCTGCGGGGCGTTGCCGTTAACGCCCCGCAACTTCCGGAAGCTCGGGGTACCGGCCCTCAAAGGCTGGCGCCGCCAGCCAAAGCAAGTTTTCTTTGTTGCGCTGGCGGGTCCGCGCGAAATGGCACGCAGCCCGTTTTCAGGCTCGGCATCGATAGCTGGGCCAAGTACTGGTGGTTTAAGGCTAGTGCTGCAGAGGCCGAGAGTAAGCAACTTATTGGCCCATGACGTCCGTAATAGTTTTTGAGGCTTGACCTGCCACGTGCCACCACTTTTGCTGCAGTTCCCTCCTTTTTTTTTTTTTTCCTTTGCTGCACATGCTGGCAGGTGGGGTCCGTCCTCTTCCTTGCCAGCACCAAATCACATGACCGAGTTTCACCGACTGCTGCACCTTACGGTGGACAGCATCCGCTCCCTTAAAAAAATTACTCTGCAGAAAAGTAGGGTGATTCCGGTGATGTGCCTGCCATCTTCACCCAAATACAATGTACCGTCATAATAGCTGTATTTGGCGCGAGTCCCAGTTACAGCAACAATGACTGTACTTTGTACTGGAGTGAAGATGGTTAGGCAACCTTCTTTAGGAGTTTGCTGACAGGCCGCTGCGTACTTCTACTTGCCGAACTTCATTCAGAATAGGTATGCCCGGTAGCTTGGTAGCTTACTAGCCTGCGGTTGGCATAACTGTATGATTGGTCAGAAGAGCAAGTGCAATGTTCAGGGACGCTGGACCTGATTTCCAGCAGGCGATGCTCCCCACCAATAGATGGAGCCTCCTGGGCGGTGCTAGCGGTGTCTGCTCTTACCAGCACCCCTAACTTCCGCTCCGACGTTTGTTTAAAAAAAAAAAAAAAAAAAAAAAAAAAGGGAGCCTGCTGAGCTGTGCTGGAGAAATTTGTTTCCAGTGGAGCCCCGGATTTTTTTATTTTTATTTTTTTCCGATAAATTCTCCACGTTAGTCCTGTGGAGCACGAGCCAAAGCATCTGTCCAACATCAGATTTGAACATCTGCATGTAGACATGTTTTCTCTGGCAATGACATCAACTTACAGATTGCTGACTGGGATTCTTCGTCAGATGAAATCTGTCGGAAGTTAGTGGAAGGGGAGAGGGGAGAGGGGAGAGGGGCGAGCGTCAAAATGGTAAGATCCAGCATCAGGGCATACTCGTGCTAGCACTTTTTTGACCGAGTCTCATCTCTTGACGTAATTGCAGTCAGATGCATGCAGGCGAAGCTGAAATTTCGGGCAGATACATTCAGGAAAGTCCAAGTGTGCATAAGCTCTCATAAAGGGACTGACCACTGAAGAGATGAAAAAGAAGAAAAAAGAGAGAGCAATTTATATTATCTACCCACCCACAAAAAAAAAAAGAAGTAAAAACTACCAGTTAGTCTGCACCTCTTCTTCCCCAACACTGACTTTTTTCCTGGCCTTATGAAATCAGAGCGTATTATTTGCCTGGCGCTGGCACTGCCAGTCATTTGCCACCCCCACTACTGGTCTTTTTTTTTATAAAAAAAGGCTAATTCTTTAAGCCCAACCAATTCAATTACCTGTCAAATCTGGACAGGATGGCATTTCAGCCTTTCAGCCTTTCAGGCCTTTTTTATTGTCATTATAGTATTACGGGGGAACCCCGTAGCAGCCACATCCGTGCTCAAGCCTCTAACGAGGGAACATGCGGGAGCTGCACCCACCAGCAGGTGTGATACCTGCTACAGCAGGTGGGTGATACCGGCCAGGGATCAGACGGTAGCATCAGGAACGAGCTTCTTCTATGGTCATGACAACCAGGACAGCCAACCAAAAAAAAAGAAAAAAGTTCAAAAAACTCTTAACCGCAGCCGTTAGATTAGTGGGCAGCCTCCTGACAAGATCTGCTATATCAATTTTGCACGGAGAGAGAAAAAACTTGAAAAAGTAAAGAGATAAGTGACAGTTGTTTGACAACTGGCAAACC